TAGCAGTGTGTGTGTGTGAGGCAGGCTGCAAGCAGTATGTGTGACAGGGTAGGTGTGTGTGTGTAACAGGATGGCAGCAGCATGTGTGACAGGGTAGCAGTGTGTGTGTAACAGGGTGGCAGCAGCATGTGTGACAGCAGCTGTCACATTCCCTTGAGGACACAGACCTGTACCTGGTCTCCTGGGAACACTTCCCTGGGCTCACACCATTCCACCAGAGATCCCGCACAGACCTGAGCGCCCAGCCTGCAGTGTCACAGGATCACAGGATCATTCTGGTTGGAAAAGACCTTCAAGATCATCAGGCCAACCACTACCCTAATTCTGCCACTAAACCCTGTCCCCTGGCACCACATCTGTCTGTTTAGATGTCTCCAGGGATGGTGGCTCAGCCACGTCCTCAGACAGCCTGGTCACCCAGTCCAGCTCCTGCCCCAGAACAGGACAACCCCAAAGTTCACATCATGTCCCTGGTGTTGTCCAAGTGTTTCTTGAATATTGTCAGGCCTGGTGCCATTCCTGCTTCCCTGGGGAGCCCATTCCAGTGCCCCACCACCAGGGCTAGCCTTACTGTGGCTTTTGGTTTGGAGAACAGTGTGTGTGTGTGCTCTGTGGGCTTTAAAAGCCAAAGGATCTTTCCCAGGAAACTAGCATGGCCAAGAAATGGGGGAAGAGAAGGCAACACTCTGTGCAGCTGCTGTGCATTGGATTTTCTCAGCCTTTGGGGTGCACAAGGACCAGGGAAGAGCAGTCTGGGAGCTGGGCCTAGGGTGGGGTCTCCCTGACTGTGACAGCCCTGGGCACACAGCCAGTGCAGTCAGGACAGTCCGATCTTCCCCTCAGGTAAGCACGGTGGCCCTGTGTCACTGTGCAAGGTTACCAGCTTGAAGGGTGTTAAAAAGGGGACCTGGAAGACTGGAGATAGTGGAGGGCCAAGCTTGCCTCTGGCTCCAAGTGAGATGATTTGAGCCGTGTCCATGACCCTTGCAGCTACAGGCGTTCGGATGGCAAAGAGCTGGGTGCAGTTTCAGGAGAGGAGGATCTGGGGAAGATGTGGCAGCAGCTGACAGATGGCAGGCTGACACTCTGCTGCCAGGTACGTGGGCTGTGACAAGCTCTGCTGTGCTGGGCTCTACTGGAGGCTGCTTTGCCCTACAACCTCTGTGCTGATTTTTTCCTGTAGGACTCAGACTCCCACTCGGGCAGACCCGTCCTGTACCGGATGCTGGCTCAGCACTCCTACCCCGCGCAGGGACCGGGGGACCTCGCGTTCAGCAAGGGAGACCTGCTGGACATCCTCTCTGAAGGTAGTTCTCCAGGCCTGTCTGCAGGCTTATGCTGGGCTGGGCTTTTGGAGGGCCTGGGGAACAGATGGCCTCTCCTGCGCTGTCTCAGGAGGTACAGGCTTGCACTGGGTTTTGCCTACAGTTAAATTCCAGCCATGAAAACTCTCACGTACTCCGCTAATATAACCAGGGCTCATCCTGCTCCTTTATCTTTTCCCAGTGAATGAGGACTGGCTTGAAGGACACTGCAATGGCAAGACTGGCATCTTCCCCAAGTGCTTTGCAACCCAGACCAGTTGTGGTGCTGCCTTCCTATAGTGAACAGAAGTCTTTTCCTGCCCGACTGCTCCGTCTTCCAGCGCTGGGACACCCCAGTCCCAGCTCCTTTGGGCCACAGCCAGCCCAGCCAGGAGCTCTGCTGAAC